TCGGTTTAATCTGAGATATTTTTAATTATAATTTTGCATGGCTAATCTCTTTTTCTAATAACAGATTAGGGAGTTAAGCTCGAAAATTAGGATAATCTTTTAATATGTAAAGCTATTATTAAGCGATTCAGTTACATACATACAAATTTAGGTTAGGTTAGAAATTAAACATTAATTTCACTTAATTTTATTCATTTTTCTGATTTAATTTTTTATTCATTTTCATTTTTAATTATTTTAATACATGAAATTATCGGTATGATTGATAAAATATACTTGTATATACTTGTGACTCAAGGCAGTTAAAAATATCGTCAACTCGAATTCCTCTTACTATGCATATGCCTAAATGTATGCAACCATTTGGCAAGCAAACACAGGGTGCTTCTAATGAAAATAAAAATTGTATGCTGATATACACATGCTAAGCCCTTCGAAATATTGTGCTGGGATATGCGTTACAGCTTCGCAAATTTTACCCCTACTGAAACCAAAGATGTATACACATCAATAATCGGAAGTAGTAATCAATTTTAGCCATATATGTAATACTTCTATATTGGCAGTAAGCTAACTTCTCATTGTGTAAGTATTCCGAAATCAAAGCGAGACAGTCTAGTACCGTTTTTGTCAATGTATTGTGTACTTGATTGCTGTTTTTGTATATGTGTTGTGTACATGTTTATTTATATATATATATATTATTGATATATCTGTACTATAGTGTTTTCGGTCGGTGCTAGCTCTTACTGCCAATATAGGAGTATTACATATATGATTTTAGCGCATTTCCTCTTGCTATGCATATGCCTAAATGTATGCAATTATTTGGCAAACATACACCGGGTGCTTCTAATGAAAATAAAAATTTTATGCTGAAATACACATGCTAAGCCCTTCAAAATATTATGCTGGGAGATGCGTTACAGCTTCGCAAATTTTACCCCTACCGAAACCAAAGATGTATACACATCAATAAATATATTTGGTTTAAAATTTTATGTTTTTATATGTTGAAAGTTTATTATTGAATAATCAAAAATTTTCTTTTTGATAACAAACAAATTCATTGAACCATAAATTGAACATCAAGAATTTAAACAAGTATAAAAACATACAAGTAAATTACCCTACAGAGACTTCATCATAATTGTTCTTTCCATTTTGTAATAAAAACCACACGCGCAATTTTCTGTTATTTTTTTGTTTTCTTATTTCTAAAATGTTCATCCCAAATGAAAACTTTTTATATTTCGGTTCAAATTTACTTTTAAATTTCTCATAAGATTTTTACAAAAAATTAGGCTTTGTGATTAGCGCATCACCATTAAATTTCACAAATTTTGAATTTATGCAAAACATAAACAACTACCAGATCGTCGTTTAAAGTACAAAACCTCGTATCAACAAAATGAAAAACCGCGTATGTGAGGTTGCATAAATTATTTTGTAGAGAGTAAAAACACTCATATTTCAAAATGGTTCTCTCTTTTTTACAAAGAAATCGCATTTCAGGACGAATGGATAAGGCTTGAGCCAAGAGCTTGTGTGAGCAAATCCAATTTTTGGCAACAAATGTCAGTTACGCGGTTTTGCAGAACGAAGATACGCGGTTTTGTACTTTAAGCGACGATATGTAAGTATACACTTTCTTCATACTTTCTGAAACCTAGTCGTCAACCCCATTTTCGAAATCATGTAGCCGGCATAATTTTCTTGTTCATCATATTCCACATCTTTGAATGTACTGATAAAATCTTCTGCTTAAAAAAAAATATTTCTTCTAGTGACCAGGTAGCATGAATTTGATGAAATGTCATAATTTTATTAAAAGTCAAATGGTTAAGAACAACAACGAATGTCATTAAATGAAACTACCTTCTTTTTTGTATCATGGGAAAAACTATTTTTTGTTCAGAACTTCTTGTTTACGAAACGTTGGCATAAGTTGAAATCATAAGGATGCCGTTTTCTTCCGTTTCTCAATGGATTTTATGTATGCACTACTTCTACATATCGTCGTTTAAAGTGCAAAACCTCGTATGTGAGGTTGCCTAAATTTTATAGGAGAGAGTAAAGCTTGTCCTAATTAAAAAGGGCTCTCTCTTTTAAACTTAATTATCTCTTCTCCTTATGTCTAAGTATCGATATTTTATTATAAATGGCTAAAAGCTTGATGCCAGGAGCTTCCGGTGACAAAATATCTTTTTTGGCACAAATTTCAGTTTCGAGGTTTTGCAGAACCACGATACGCGCTTTTGTACTTTAAACGACGATATACATATTGGCGCTTACACAGTATGTTAGTGTTTGGCCTAGCTTCTCTTCCGATATGTGACGTGTGTGATTTTGTCACACAAAGTAAAGGACAGGGACAATTTAGAGTTTTTCCGAGCATACTTTTCAACCTAAATTGAACTGTGAAATATAAATGGGCGCGCGATTAAGCGAACAATTATTTTTTTAGAAGTTTTAAGTAATTTTTCTATTTTCTATGGCACTAAAAAGAAAATATTCAGAAAAATGTCAGTATAAATATTTTTGATTTTGGTAAAAGTAGAGAATAGGGAGCGATGAGCTAGAAAAAAAGAAAAATTGGGCGTGGATCGACCTTTATTCTTGATTTTGATGGTATGAATTTTGTTTGCTGCATATTAAGAGGGCCGGTGCAAGGGGGTGGTAAAAGAGGAATTTTCAATATTTTCAAAAGCTTATTTTTCGAAAATTATTGAACCGATTTTTCGCACACAACCTTAAGACAGATTTCGCTTCTATTATTTTAATGTGTTAATGTTTGCAGTCATTTACGAACGATACAAGATCGATAGAGAAATACATAAAAATCTCTTGCTTTTTGATTGGATTACTCAGAAAGGTTTTAAGTATGCAGTTTTGTAGCCCAATTTAATTTGATTTCAATTTTAATACATTAAAGTGCAACTTTGATGTAGCTAGGACTTACCGTTGATATTTGTATTTTTTTTTTTTTTGGTTGAAGTTGTTGGTCATTTTCTCCATATAAAAAAATCGTGTTAACATGCATACTTCGTATGGAAGAAATGACTGACACCGTCATTAAAAAAAGTCTCAAAATATCAACTGCTGCTACTTCATACATGCACTTCAATGTGTTAAAATTACATGGGCTACAAAGCTGCATATTCAACGAAATCTAATGAAAAAGCTAGAAATTTGTATGAAGGTTTGTAGAATATTTTTTTTTTTTAATATTGCACAAAGTTTAAATCTTAGATTTATACGTGGTTTGTTAAAGAATAAATTATAAGGTATAATAAAAAATTAATAGTCAAAGCTTTTCAATATATGGTTGGCGTATAATTGTGATGCACACCTCATTTAAAATATTTGTTTTTGAAAAGCATTCTTTTGTTAGTTTTATATTTTCTTTCCTTAAATATTTGTTCTGGATTATTATACCCGTTTAACAAATAAACTTTACTGATTTCTTTAACATTGACTAGTTTTCATAACTTTATTCATTACCTTAATGCAGCAAACTAAAATAAATAGTACATGTGTGCATAAGCACATAATTAGCAGAACCCAAATACCAAAAATCAACAGCTCTATGAAAATACTTAAGCACTTTCACAGTACACTGCTTGCGCACGATTAAGGGATATAGAGATTGTGCCAATCGCGGTACCGCTAATCCGCTCTTTGTGATTTTGACAGAATCAGCTGTGTGCGTGACGTCATCTTGGTTAGTTATTGCTACGTGTTCCTAATTAATCAATCTTTGTATATTTATTGATTCCTGCAAAATTGGGCCATGTAATATTAAAATTAACACATTTTTCTGCATTGTTTATATATTTTTATATGCGTTTTGGCATTTCTCTGTCGCAATTGCACCAAGATGACGTCACGCAAAAATCACGCTCAAAAATCCTCTCTCATTGGCGCAATCTTGTATTCTATCAATCTTGCTGCTTGCGGATATTTTCAGTCGATGTAATTGTCGCTTGCAAAGCAAATACTACTCTTCTTGCTATTGATCGGTTTTTTACTCTCGCATACTCCAGGTGGTTTGTGTTTACTTGCACTCTCCAAGAGAATGGAGAGATAAAGAGAGTAAGTAATTGCGCTGCTAACAAATGTCTTGTTGGGCAACTCAAATGTACCCGTGCAGTTTTTTAATACATGTTTTAAAAGGTAAAACCGTTCGCTCAATTCGCCGGCCGTCATCTATTTTCTGAAGTTTGTCTACTTTATAAAATTTAAATTTTCAGAGCAACTCAAATTCCAAATAAAAGTAAAACAAAAAAAAACAAAACAATCTCATATAAAAGTTTAAGAGTACCGTTAATTTCTTCATGATCCAATGATCGGACCTAAACCAAATTAGTTGGGACAACCTCTGAGGTACCACCTTTCATTTATAGAAATCGACTAACGTGGTCCAAAGTTAAGCAAACATAAATAAAAAAAGGAAATATTCGGACGAATTGATAACGTCCCCCTTGTAATAATAAATAATAATAGATATAATATTAAATTTTTCCTTTATTTGAGACTGAAAGTGAGAATGTTTTGTGCGAGATTGAAAATCTTCAGGCCGCCTCTCAGCGGTTGTACCTTTAAATTTTTGTATCAAGGACGTTTATAGGCGGATTTTTAGTAGATATTTTATTTTTAAACATTTATTAATTATTTTTTGAACGCACTAAATAATGTGTTGGTAATATGGTTTAGTATACCATATGTCACGAACCATATGTACCATATTACCCGCAAGTTTTTCAAGGTGCCACTTTTTGACTTTTTTCAAGTTTTTCATAAAATCCTTTTTACGTTGCATTATTAGGAATTCTTTGTTGTACAGTCTTTTAGCCAATACCACAGTGGTGATAAATTTGCAAATTGGAAAAAGGATGCATAGTTTCTTAGTTATGATCCAAAAAGGAATAGATATTCCATATTACCCGAACTTACTCTATGTAATGCATTGCTTACTTTTCGTTTGGTTTCAATTTCAGGGGATCGCCATTAAAGACAATGACAGCTTAGCCGCTATGCTTTCAGCCGAAGTTCAAGCAGACTTGTTGATTTTGATGTCTGACGTGGATGGAATTTACAACAAACCACCATGGGAAGATGGAGCAAAACTTATGCATACTTATACTTCAAATGATCGCCATGTCATCGAATTCGGCAAGAAATCCAAGGTATACATATGTGTAGTCTTTTAAACATCTATACTAATTATATAAAGAGAAGTCCCTTTTTTTTGTAACAGGTAATCTCGCGAACGGCAGGTCCGATTTTCATGAAATTTTGCATACAAATAGCTTTCGGTAACCACCATGTTTTAGGCTAAAAAAAATTTACTTTTTTTTTCGGGTAGGTGGACCAGGGACCGGTCTATTCGAAAAAATCTTATTATAGTCCGATTTTCTTAAAATTTAGTACGTAAGTAGCTTTTTAGCATATATTAGCATATATGACCCCTTTTTTCCAGGAAGTGGTCCAGGGATCGATCTATTCGAAAAAATCGAATTTACGATCCGATTTGCTTAAAATACGGCGCGCAGGTAGCTTTTTAGCATGTATTAGCATATGTGATAAATTTTTTCCGAGAAGTGGACCAGGGACCGATCTATTCCAAAAAATCGTACTTATGGTCCGATTTGCTTAAAATTCGGTACGTAAGTAGTTTTTTAGCATATATTAGGATATATGGTAAATTTTTTCCGAGAAGTGGACCAGGGACTGATCTATTCGAATTTACGGTCCGATTTGCTTAAAATTCGGTACGTAGGTAGCTTTTTAGCATATAATAGCATATATAATCCATTTTGTCCGAGAAGTGGACCAGGGACCGATCTGTTCGAAGAAATCGATTTGCTTAAAATTCGGTACGTAGGTAGCTTTTTGCCTGGATAAGCTTATAAATTCCTGCTTTCCAATTTTCATGCAATTTCGAATATAAATAGCTTTAAGTAACGACCATATCAAGGGGCGAATTCGTCACTAGGCAAGATTTTTTTGCGCCAATCAGACACAAGGGATACTGTCAAAATATAATTATAATATATAATATATCTCAACTAATATATATTTAGAAAGCCGTTTGTTAGTTTTCGCAAGGCTCGAGAGCGGCTGAACCGATTTTTTTGAAACTGCCACCTGCCGCACGTGTCCCAAGGATGGTTTTAGGCTGAAAAAATCTATATGTAAAGGGGGCGTGGCACTTCCCATTCAAACCGAATTTCTCATGCTACATATCTCTGAAAGTGTGCATGGTAGAGTTTTGGAAATTGGTATGGAGATATACGAAATCAATCGCATACCCTTGGAGAAAAATTTTAGCCATTGTAAAAATGGGTGTGACATCTTCCATACAAACCGATTTTTTCATACTGCTTATCTCTGGAAATTTTTTGGTAGAGTTCTAGAGTTTTGTATGGAGATGTACGAAATAAATCGCATACTCTTGGAGAAAAATTGGAACTATTGGAAAAGGGGGCGTGGCATCTTCCATATAAACCGAATTTTTCATACTGCCTAACTTTGGAAGTGTTCATGGTAGAGTTCTGGAACTTGGTATGGAGATATACGAAATCAATCGCATACTCATGAAAAAAGAGGGCAGCTGTTGGAAAGGGGAGCGTGGAACCTCCCATATAAATCGAATTTTTATACTGCATATCTCTGAAAGTATTCATGGTACAGTACCGGAACTTCGTATGGAGATATGTATAATGATTGAAATCAAGCCCATACTCATGGAGAAAATTGGGCTATTTGAAAAGGGGTGTGAGGCCTACAAACGTACCGACCTTTACCTATCTTTGAGTGAATTTTTTTATTCTTCTGTAGGTGTGTTTGTGAGTGAAATCCTCCTAAATAGTTGTACGGATTTTAACGAAAATTTTTGTGTATTTGAGTGGGTCTCTGGATGGTTTAGTTTCACAATTTAATCCGACAGTTGGCGCTGTAGTTGAGTTATTACTAAAAACCTTATTTATGATCCGATTTGGCTAATGTTTTAAATATGTATGCAATACTATTGCAAAAACGTGCTGCCAAGTGGTGCTGAAGTCGAGCTATTACTTAAAATAGCCAAGTGAGAAAAGGGGCCGTGAAGGTCGGATTAAATCGACCTGTTGCACCATTGAGTATATCGAACGCTCCTGCGTTGCGATTGGCCCAATGGATGTGATTTTCCAATATTATTATGCGTTCAAACTTTTAAGGCATTTCGTCTGAAATAAGTATATGTATATTGCATTTCTGTAGAACAATGATTCGCACCCATTTTGAAATTGCCACCTACTATACTGTAAAGCTTCTAGGACATTCACTATAGAACCGGGTCATTGTTGCCGCCAGGGAGTGAAGAGGAAAAAATTTATTTCGCTTTGCGAATAACCGTGCTATGAAATGCCGCACAACTGGAGAATTTCAAGAACGGATATAACACTTTCCTTAGGTTATTTAAAGCGGCAAATCACCACCAAACCTTAATCTTAGCAGACAAATGTGCCAATGAAAATCGTAAACGTGAATTGTTGGTGAAAATGTTGGACCAAAAAGTTTTGGGCGGGACGAAGTTCGCCGGGTCTGCTAGTACATACATAAATACATATTTGTATGTGTACATAACACAAGTTTTGATAACACCTCTATAGCAAGTAATTTTTAAGCAAAACCAAAACCGACTTCAATTCTCATATAAAAATTTAAGCGTTCCCTTAATTTCTTCGTGATCAAATGATCGGATCTAAACCAAATTTGTATGGGACCACATTTCTTTTAAAAAAAGAATCATAGAAATAGGTTAACTTTGTTCATAGTTATGCGGTAACATATCTACATATATAAAAAAATATTCCGACGAATTGATAAGCTCCTCCTTTTTTGAAGTCGGTTAAAAATATATGTATCGATAAACCAATACTATTTGCTCGAATAAGTCCACACCAGTGTTGCCAGTTTGCGGGATTTCGCCCTTTTTTAGGGATTTTATAACTAAAAAGGGCGAATGGGATTTTCTGTCCAAAAACGGGATTTTTTGCACACCATACCGAAAAATAAAATTTAGTAATTGATAATTAAGAAAAGGCTGCCATACTCAGGGCTGCGGAGAGGGGGGGGGGGGCAGCCAGGGCAATCGCCCTGGGGCCCGGAAGGTTTTTGGGGGCCCGGAAAGGCAAAGCAGTATTGACAGTACTCGAACTAGGATTTCATAGATACATACATAGGTATTTTGTTGCTACAAAAAATTGTTTTAAAATTGAAGTGTTTAACTTAACCAAATCACCAAACTAAAATTATAAGCATCCAATCAAATACTTACCTTGTTTATACATACATATAAAAAACGGTTCTGACGACACAAATTTGTCAAGTGTTTATACGAACGCACCTAAATCGATAGCAAAGAAATCGTCTTGAACTGACATTTCGCAACAGTGAATGTGAAATGAAGAAACAGCTGATTTTTAAAGCGCTTTGAACAAAATTTGTGTTTATACGATATTTTGCACACTTCCAGTCAGTGTGGCTGAAGGGGAGCGTTCTTTCAGTCTATTGTCTCGCGTGAAAAATTTTTTGCGTTCTACTATGAGCCAAAATCGCTTGACATGCCTAGGAACATTGGCATTGGAGTCCAGCCTTGCTCGCAGCATTAGTTTTGACTCAGTAATTTCCATATTCGCAGACCAAAAAGCACGGAAGGTTTTCCTTGGATGATTCAAGCTCTTAAAATGTATTTAAAAAGGTTAATGTAAGCAAATCAAACAATGAGATCTAACATTTCATTTACATATCGACGTGCCATACGAAAACTAACACCAAAAATTTTGTGTCTGAAGAAAACTAACACTTTTATTTTGTGTCTGACGAAAACTAAAACTTTCAATCTGTGTCTGACGAAAACCAATACTTTTATTTTGTATCTGACGAAAAGTAACACTTGAATTTTTTCTCTGAAGAAAATGTACTAGCTAAAAGTGTTAGTTTTCGTCAGACACAAAATAAAAGTGTTAGTTTTCGTCAGACACAAATTGAAAGTGTTATTTTTCGTCAGACACAAAATAAAAGTGTTAGTTTTCTTACAGAATTTTAAAAGTGTTAGTTTTCGTAAAAAATTTAAAAAGTGTTAGTTTTCGTATGGCACGTCGATATGTATGTAAGTGCTCTAGTAAATCTTATTTTATATGAAATAAAACTGACAATGTGAATTGAAAAATTTTTGTATGTTATTTTTTTACTAGATTGAGTTTATTTTTTAGGGGGGCGCGCAAACGCGAACTGTCCCAGGGGCCCGGCTCGGCTCTCTGCGGGCCTGGCCATACTCCGTCAGCGCACCTTCATTCACATGAAATAAATTTGGATGGCTTCTGAACTTGCTTTAAATGAATATAAAATAATTAACTAAGCACAAGTCTTTAGAAAGCATAGCGGTATACACAGGTGTTGATCAGTTTCATTTAAACGATAAGTGGAAAAGTATTTTGAGTGATTCTATTTCGCGGTGTTACACTGATCATAAACTTTTTAATCCACCTAGTACAGGTCGTAGTGCTGATCGACTAATTCACGAAACTGCGTTTAAAATTTTTCTAACATCCTAATATCCTCAACTTATTCTTAAAAACCATTTTCGCATGACTTCCGGCACTAAACCAGCTTAAGCTCGCTTATTATTTAACCAATTTTAAGTTTATATATGAGTTTGGGAAGAAGGATGTTTGTATTATTTAAATAAATAATAAGTTTTGTGAGCGCATTGCAAATATGTGGAAAATTTTTAGAATAAATCTAAAATTTAGACCAACATTTATTATTTTTTTCATTTCTACAACATTTTTTGACAAACTTTTAAAAGAAAATATTCCTAGTAAAACTAGGTACCATTTATAAAAATCAATAGACAATTTCGGAAGTTCTGATTTTTTTCAAAATCACTTCGCTAATATATCACAGAAAATTTGAATCAGTTAAATTAGATTCACTCTGAGATTTAATAGTTCGTCTAGTTGACCTTTAAATGACCGCGATACTGACCTCGTGAGACCAAACTAACCCCGGATTCCGGTTCAGCGGTCCCAAAATCATATGTAGTGACCTTTTGTTACGATTTTTGTTCCTTGTTCCTTTTGTTCATAGGAAAATTTTCTGGAAACTGGTCGGAAAACGCTGACTAAGTACCGAATCGTTA